GCTGACTTGGCTACATAAGCGCGCGGTAGTATGATGACATTGCGCAAAATATCGCATAATTTAAAAATAGTGGCCAATAAATATGATTCCTATTGTATTTTCGGCTCAACCCAAAAGTCTTCACATCAGCTCCAAGTTTCGTTCAACATTCGACAACGTTACGAAAGCAGTATGCCAAAAATGCCACAATCCCCCCTTTGTTTCCTGTTCAGTCAGTGTCGTGTACAACATCTCACTGACATGTGGCAGACGTTTTGTAGTAGAGACAGTTCGGTGCTTAAATGACCACCTCTCAGAACATGACCGATTTAAAAATCAACGGTGGAGGATCATCTTTCTTTGCACTGCAGATCTTGTTTGTGTTCATCATTTTTTTTCAAGGCACGACGATTGTTGGATGAGATAAAAAAAAGTCGTAGAATTTTAGAGTCATCTATTATCAATCATTTTTGATAACACAGCGTTACCCAGCCTTCCGTTGGGCTGTCAGATGAGGAAACCTTAATTTTGGAAAGGTTATTGTGTAATATAATTGAATTGTAGTTTCAAATCATGTCATTTTGATTTGGAGTACTTGTGGGTACCCCATCTTTTAAGCGATTTGTGCTATGCCTTTAAAGTCACGGAGTTATTATATTAAGCAGGATGTCCAACTGGCTTTAGTGTGCGGTTTTAAATTGAAGCAGAAAGAAGCCAGTCTGAAATTGACTACCGGCAATGCATTTCTTAGGGAAAAAGTGAGTGCATTTTTTTCCCCGAACTTGACTATAAGAGCAAATATCACCAATAACTCGCACTCACTAGATAGCTTGGAACATTTCTCAGTCAGACAGACGGAATATTGATCAGTTACGCCGTTTCCTTTTAAAAATCATGGGAATAAAAACGGTGCTATATTGGCTTCGTACATATATTTATGTACACTGTCCGACACTGTCAGCGCTCGGCACTTTCCTGCATGGGAATTAGGTGTGAAAACAATGAAGAGCATCTCGAAAATAAAGAGAGACGTCAAGAACTACTCACAAACACACAAACACTATGCATGTAGAAGATAAGAAATGAAAGACGTTTACAACTTTCTGTAATGTCGAATTAGAGCGCAGCTCTTGAGAAGGAGGAGGCGAGGGTATGCTCCTCCTCCCCCTCCGTCCAGCCCTCCTCCTCTCCTGCTCCCGTCCCATTTAGCGGGAACTTTTTTTTTTCTCCTAAACGTAGCGGGAAAACCTTTCCGCTAAGTTTAGCGAGAAAATTTTTTCGTTAAACTTAGCGGGAAAACTTGCCGCTAAAATTAGCGGTAACATTTCGCCGCTAAATTTAGCGAAAAAACTTTCCGCGCTAAATTTTGCTGAAAAATTTTCCCGCTAACTTTAGCGGGGAAACGTCCCGTAATGCAACGCGCCCAGTTACGCCGACTGCGATGCCGCTCAAGCCATAAAGAGGCGCCTAAGAGCTGCGCTCTAAATAAAGCAAAGCCGGGTAATGAGTCCGATTTGCAATTAAAAGCTTTCGTTTCATTCCCTTTGCTGCCCATATATGGGTGAGAATATCAGTTTGCTCTAAGTTCGGAACTATTGAAAAAGCCTGAAATCTCTTACCGCCATATAAATTGAGCACCATAATAAAAAGCAAAACACCTTCTATGGTGAGCGTAATTTTACTGTTTTACGCTTTTTAACCGCTCGTAAATGGGGATCACTTAATACCCATTCACACGACCGTAAAGGTACCTTTAGCTAAGGGACCTTTATTCTCTGAGGCCAATCAATTAACGATCCTCCGCGCGTGGCGTGTGCTCACGACCAAAGAGCACGGGCTGATTCGCCGAAAGCAAAAGGACCTATGCTAAAGGTGCCTTTATGCTGACCGTGTGAATGGTGTATTAGTAGCATTTATATCGCCTGATTTATCAATATTAGTGTCATCGGGATGTTGGCGCTTGTTGAACAAGTCCTGCGTTTTTCTCGACTCTTATTTTTGCTTTGGTTCGCCGCTTGCCTTTACACACTTGCCGTGGAAAAGTGGACGGAACCCGGAATAATGGGAAGTTAAACACCGCAAACTTATGGGAAATATACTGTAACTATAACAATTCACTTTTATAAAGTTAATAAGGTCACCTACTTTTCGCTACGACTCAAGTAATAAAGGTAATTTATCTTATTCTCCGGCGAAGGGACAAAATGTTCGCGCGTTTTCTCACAGGAACAGCGGAAAAGTGGACTGGTTATTGTCTGCTGCCTTTTGGAACCGCAAGTCCTATAGACGCTAGTGTCAGCTAGACCTCTAGTGTAGGATAATATAGCTCTAAGCTCTATGTTTCAAGCTGTCTCTTTGGCGCACTCTTATTGTGGGAACCCCAGGCTAGCGGTTGTACCGCACTGGCTAAATTGCTCATCTACAGCTGGGAGACTCGTCGCCCGTTGTGGCAGACCAAGTTCTAGGCTGTATAAACATACACACAACCCAATTTTTTTTCTTATTGTGGGAACCTTTTCGGTACTTTTATCTTCTTCTTTCTTAGTGTATTATGTATCGCAGTTGCGAATCAGCCCTTCTGTGCCTTTAGTGTTCTTTTCCTTTGTTCCTGTTCTCTGTGGCCTGCTACGTTCAATACGAAATGGGAAAGCAGAGAATGGTGGGCGCGATTGCCAAAGAAGCCGCGTATGACACCAGGGATCGCAGAATGCGTTAAGGACCCCAGGCTAGTAGTCGTACTGCACTGGCAAAACGTATCATCTACAGCTTGAACCAGTGTCGCCGCCCCATAGATGCAGACCGATTTTACTGTGTGTAAGCACAAACTTTTAATTTATGATTTTTTTTAGGGGAATGGGGGGAAGGAATTGCAGATTAAAGAGGTTCACGCACCTGTAATGGCCGATTCACATGACGGACACATCTGCACGCGGATTGATCACGTGACGGAATCTCCGCTGACCGTTCATCTCCCAAGCGCATACACACGGAAGAGTTAACGAGCAGACGCAGGCCAGGACGGAGTTTTTTTTCTGTTTGCGACCCCACAGGGGTGCGGAAGGCCAACATGACAGTGTGACACCCTTGTCCAAGAGTGAAAGCGACTTTGATCCCTAGTTTCGCGGCACTACCACGAAAAAGGATCGTTCTGTCCCGCTGCTACGTACCGAGCCAGAAAAAAAACATCGTTATAAGCTTGCGCTAACCATACCCCCAACACCACTTCCCCCCGGCTTTGCTTACCCAAGGTATGGCGCAATCGTGATCCTGCTCGAGTAGGCATTGGAGCAAAAGCGATGAAGTCGTGGGCACGCGGAGAAGCGTTTGTTGATGGCTTCAAGCACCACGAGTTCGCGCACAACTCAACAGTACACCACAGCTGCCAGAAATGTCGTATTTTTTTTAACTTGAGAACTCGTTTCCGGGTATTACACTACGGAGAGTCTAAACTAAGCTTCAAAATTCAGTGAATCGCATAACAAAAACAGTAATAAAAAAGCACGTTAATGGGTACACTGAGAGAATGATGAAGTTACAAAGTTACAGTTCTTATTTTTTAAGTCTCACTGCTGATTGAAAGGCTGGAGGACGTGCAGAAAAGATCGCGGCATGAAACCTGCGACACTTCAGCGGGGCAAAGTTTGTGCAGCTTCTTTCACGCTTGCAACCAAGAATCGCGTGACAAAGCAAACTAGTGAACGGACAAAATATGAAGATACGCCGTCGTTGTTTCTGCTCCTCCGAAAACAATGGATAGCAAATTACTGGGCAATTGTGTTGCACGTGCAACGTGTGGCGTCTATGCTTTCGGCGCTCTTCATGAACTAATTTAGCGACAGGCTTCACGCGTGCCAGGGACACTATATAGAAATCCCTGGAATGGAGATACCGGCGCTAACCAGAGTTTTAAAAACGCTCGACAGGGCGTCAAGTTGCTATCTGCCGGACCCTGAGCGGATGCCCCATACGATTTCCCGCCAGATAGTACCTGTACCCACATCAATGCGTCGTGACATGCAGGCACAGGGTCTTTTATGTTATCCCTAAGACGAGTTGAAGGCGAAAGCCCAAGCACCGATGCATTAAAGACAGAAACATGATTTGAAAGGTCTCTGGTTCGACGCCAGCCGAGGGACAAGAACGAAAAGTCTTTTTGGAGGAACAAAGCACCTCCGCCGATTCTGGCACAAGTAACGCAATCTCGTGGTCCAGTGTGAAGCTTGGATTTTGATACCTTTCGTGCCTCGACGTGTTTTCGCTCCAGGACTTTGAAAGTGGACTGAACAAGGAGACATATATGGCTTCCCTAGTAAGAAATGTTGTACGTGAAAGAACTTGCTTTGTTCAATAAACGATCGTGATCGAATAAGATCGTTTAAGCGTATACAAGAACAATATAAGTCCAATACACGAGAATATGAGACCTGCTTATAACTTCGCATATAATCGTATATTGTACCTATATGTTTTATATGCTTCTTTATGCGTTTATAAGATCTTATTTGATCACATGCGTTTATTGGACGAAGCAATTTTTCTACATATAACGTTTTTACTATATTTCGCCTTAAAAAGACGCTCACTTAATAGCCTAAGCTGTCTGGGTTTGATTCCCTGCTGGCGCAAACACTTTTTCACAGCGATGTCCTCTTCGACCCCAATCAGGACCATTTAGTGTCCAGCCTCGCGGCCACGCTTTTATCCAGGCTTCACATTTGGGTTTCACAAAATTCCGAATACCTAGCCAAAAAACGTTTCACGCAAAAAGAAACTAAAAAACGCTGTACTGCTGTTCGACTAACCGCTTTTCAACTCGATTCCCCACGAAGAACCGCGATTAAAAAGGTGCTCGGCGATTTCAGTTCGCCTGTCTGCGGACGAGGCGCGGATCGCAAGAATCGGTGACGTCATAGTCACGTGATACACTGTCCGCGGACGAAAATCTTGATTTTGTTCGTCGTGTGAATCTGTCATAAAGCGTCGATTCCGAATTACTTATCACATCTCATCTCTTGTTTTAGGCGGAGCCGTGGCCGGGATATTTGTTGCCGTCAATGTGGTGTCTTGCCAGTATTTCGACAAGTGGCAAACCACGGCATGCGGCATATCCTGGGCTTCGCAATGCCTCAACGTGTTCTTCATGCCACAAGTCGCCAACTACTTCCTGCTGGAGTACGGCATGCCAGGAATGTTTCTTCTCCTGGGAGCCCTGACCTTAAACGGATTCCCTCCCACAATCTTGTTGCACAGCCCCCCATGGCTGAAGGTGCACCGCGCTCAGGGCGAAGCGCGTCCATCCAAAGTGCTGCTGGCGATGAACGAGACGGGGCCGAATTTGGCGGACAACTCGGCCGATCATTTGGACATTGAGACCAGCCAGAGTGAAGGCGAAGCGTTTGTCAACGGTATTCGTAAGGATGCGTCCAAACAAACTGAGCAGGACCCGAGCAAAGTCCTCAGTGTGAAACCGACCTCCGACCTCAAGCAAACGTTGAAGGCCTTTCTTACCCCGACATTTCTCATTGACACGCTGTCTTTCGCGGTTCAGATTTATTCAATGACGACTTTTTATTTAGTGCACATTGACCTCGCGTTGGACTATGGCATTGAAAGTGACCATTCGATTTACTTCATGCATATTTACTCCGTCGGAGACTACCTCATGAGGGTGCTGAGTGGCGTAATTGTAGACAGAGGCTGCATGTCACTGACCACAGTCATGGTGCTTGGTTTTATAGGTAATGCAGCCGGATTTGAAGCTTTGGCGTTGTCGCGTTCGTTCATCCCTTTCGTTTTCGTAACGTTATTTCTGGGTGTGAGTGGCGGTATAATGGCGGCCTTGCCAGCGCCTGTGCTCATCAGCGACTTCCGGGGGCGCTCTCTCTCGATCCTTCTCGGCGGCATGTTGTTCTTGGAAGGACTGGTGATAATGACGAGACCTTCACTAATCGGTAAGTGGCGTTCTGAATTGAACTAAATGAATGCGATACATTTAAAATATTGACTGGTACATTTCGGGACACAGGCTGTTTTATGTTTAAAACTCTAATCACACCATTTTTCTTTCCTCCCCTCGAGCACCTAGTCAACCGTAACCATCGTGGGTGGGGGTCAAATTGCTCAATTCAAAATAAATGTGGCGGCTCATTCAACGGCACGAGCAAGAAATTTCTTTGTGTGACTTTATTGTCGCCTTAGATGTAAATACCTAATCGAATTATATTCGGCCGGTCTTTTCTATTAAGATTACTGACGTTGTAAATGAAACCCTAATATTTTACCTTAACATCTACATCTAAATACCTGAGCGGTTGCTAAAATAATCTATGCTGTTATTATGGTCAATATTCAGGTAATATTATCTATTATTGTGTGTTCATATTTTTAACAAGTTCCTATTGTCACCGTATTATTTTAATAATCAGGTTCTGTCGCCCCTTTTCTATTATTGGAGCATATACATCAGCCCCATTGACAAAAGTGGCGATATTAAACAGCACTAATCATGGAAAACACCAGTTGAGAGGAAACAATATACGAAATTCAGATTACTCTAACAATTACAAGCTTTTTTTTTTTTTACTTGTCTAACGCTATCTACAATTTGTTTATAGGTTTTTTCAGGGACAACATAGGAAGTTATGACGGCCTCGTTCACACCATCGCAGCTGTGAATGGACTTCTCTCAATAGTCTGGATACTCAAGAGACATTTTCAAGGTCGAAAAGCACCAAAAATAACCGGAGGAAATATTCCCTCTGCCCCAATATAACAAAACAAAAAGGATAAAACATAAATTACACAATTGCCTTCTGTTGCGGCTTCCCTCTAATAAACCAGGAAATCTACGTCTGCGTAAATCTCACCACTGCCATATTATGGGGAGAGGAGTAAGTGACAGAACCAGGAATACGTTTTGGCCTTAAATTGCAATCTGCATCGAAGCATCTTAGCTCGCTTCGACTCCAATGTCGAGCGCCGCCGACATGACGTAGTAGAGCACGTGCGGCTTTCATTGGCACACGCTCCAGAACTTCGAATGATCAACATATGTGCGCGCTACATATTCAGTGCGCATGTGCGATTGCGCCTCTGATCGTGACGTTCTTCATATCAAGTGTGGCCGCGCAGATCCGTCGAACATTTTTATTCTTGCAGTGCCTAGATAAAAGTTGTTTTTCTAACCGGGCTCTGAAGAGGCGTGTTCGCCAGATTTTGGAGTGTATCCTAAACACTTAGCTAATAAACTAGGAGCACGAAAATATTTCTCTTGCCCAAAGTGTTTCTTTAATTTGTGTATAAATTCATTTCATGCTCTTGCCAATAAGAATAGAAGTCACTGGAATTTTCACCAATCTACCGGGTAAATCAAAGCGATCGTTGGCTTTCTGAAGAGACCGCATCGATCAGTCTATTAACGTATTCCTTGGCGGAGTCACAACCGAAAGTACGCTGCATAGGTTCTGGAGGAATGCGTCAGAGAAGGCGGCCTGGCTAGCTGCAATTTCTGAATGACTACTGGAGGGTTTCGAAATGACGCCCTTTATTTGTTCTCGACATTATGTCCCGAGGATTGTGAGGTCAGCCCAAGCGTCTCTAGAGCGTTGGGTGTTCAAATGGTACCTTGGTTGAGGCGGGATGTCGTTCAGACAAACTTCCCGCAGCAGGTCACATCACGCGAAGCAAAACGTCCAAGGCCAGAGGTAAGTTTACCAAACATAGATAACTTATCCGATTCCTTGACTCCCCGATCATCCTAGCTGCTACAGGGTGCCGAGGGCCGCCATGTTTTCCGAAGAAGGATAAAAACATCAGGAAGCGACATCACTTCCAGACTCCGATTTTTGATATTTGCGTGAAATTCGCGATTGCGCTTAAAAAATTTGTTACGAATGTCGTTATAAATAATATAGACATGCAGCTTACGAAAATTCTAAATTTTATAATCGACTACGTCACAAATAAAAAGAAGCGAAGAGATGAGAAGAGGGAGAGAAGTGTGCCAAAAGTAAAAAGACGCGCTCCCTCGTGAGAAATTTGTTTTGCCCGTTGTGCTATCTTTAGTGTGTTTATGCCTACAACTTGCATCGTTTTAAACAATAAAAAAGCAGGGTAAGGCGAAATTAAAAAAAAAAGAAAAAAAGGATATATATATATTTTTTTTTAGAGATTTGGAACTCCTAGTCTTTCCTGGACCATTCTGACTGTGTCATTTGCGCGTGCGCTATTTATCTATCCGAAGAATGACCTTTTCCGAAACCTAGGAGGTGTTTGACCACGCCTCCTTTTACACCTATGCATGATCTGTACCTCTCCTATGCCGTAAAAAAAATCAGTAAAAAAACCGCAGGTTTTTTTAGGTTTAGCGGAATGGTTATTGCTCGTCCGGCAACAGCAAAAGTCTGACTGCCTTTACGTTTTTAGCTTGATGAATCCTCATACAAAGCCGGTATCACTCGCGACGCGCGTTCTTTTGCTTCTGCTTTGGAGTGCTTCCACGAGTAAGGTAATTTATTGTTTACTATGAGACTGGATTTTCAATGTTAAACAAATGACGAAAACGAAAAAGTTATTTTAAAAGCGTCGCTTCCAGGGTAATCGGCCTAAGTCGATTCCTCATGCCGCTGAGTCCCCGCAACGCATTCCGACGCCAGATGCAGCGGCCAGCTCCCGTGCGTCTTCTTCGAGGCTGTCGCACTTGGCCGCACGCATGGAGGAGCTTAAGGCAAGCGTTAGTGACTGCGACTATGAACTGATCGACATCGACCTTCTGTCCTTTGCTGTCGCCGAAAGCTGGGTGCGTGAAGTGTGCGATCGGGACTTGCAACTTTAAAAACGCAGCACAAAGAGCTGGCGTCGCCTGCACCTACTTTCTGAACTGCGAAAAGTGCTGTTCGACCTATCGATTTGAGACAGCAAGACGGACAACTTCGGGCCTCTACTTCGGGTCTCCGTTTGGTGTTTCACCAGGATTCTTCACATCGACGAAAGTAATCCCTGGAGAAGGGGAACAAGAGGGACAAAGGACAAACATAAATCTCCAAACACAGCTAGGTGACTGGTGAGCGACCGAAAAAATCCGCCTGGTCCGGGTATCGAACCCGGGACCTCTCCATTACAAGTAGAACGCTCCACTTGTAATGGAGAGGTCCCGGGTTCGATACCCGGACCAGGCGGATTTTTTCGGTCGCTCACCAGTCACCAAGCTGTGTTTGTAGATTTATGTTTATCCTTTGTCCCTCTTGTTCCCCTTCTCCAGGGATTACTTTCGTCATTCTTGTCCAGCTCGCTTGCACCTTTGCATTTAAATGCATCATAATTATAATTCTTCACCATGCAGAGCTTGCGGGACGCTGACCGGCGACAACTATACTTTGAAGGCTACACAGCTCGTCAGAAAAAAGGCCCGCAAAGCAACGTGACCTCGGGGGGTCACGTGGTCTTGGGGGGGGGGGGGGGTCACGTGACCTTGGGGTTACCTTGGTTACGCCGACGGCGACGGCGACAGCAACGCCGACGCCGCTCAAGCCGGAAACGGGCGCCCAAGAGCTGCGCTCTAAAAGGCCCGCAAAGCAAGGCAGCAAACAAAAAAAAGAAACATTGACTGTGGAGATGAAAACCTGGCTGGTGGCTAGTGAACTGATACATCAGCATGCATTTTTAGAGTGCTAGTTTGTAATAAAGTGCCTTTTTTTTATTTCAAAGTCAATTATCTCAAAACATCAATGTTCTCGACGTTTGACACTTTTTCTCTGAAACCATAAAAGCTAGAAGCATTATTTTTTCCACTACGAAGACAACACAAGAGAAAGTCTGCTGAACTAGAATTATGGTAATTGATTAAGGCAATTTTGTTTGACGAGCTGCTTATTGTTCATTTTGACATTAAAATTGGGAGGGTCCAGTAAAAACAAAAGCAAAAAAGAACTAAATTATATATAACAATAATGCTAGTTCAGTAAAGAAAACATAGAAAGCTGAACACAATGATACCAACATGAATCTTCTAACCCTAGCAGATCCCAAGAAAAAACTCACATACATAGGCTAAAACAAATAAGAAGTATAGGGCCTACCCTCCCTTTTAACATCCATCGGTGAACATATAAAATAAAATTTTCCGTTATTATATGTTTGTTTATGCAGCGTTTTAAGGGAGTTCCCAACTCTCCTCCTTCGCTCATTTTGGTGTCCTGGACTTGGCAGAAGAAATAAAGATACACAAAAGCCTGTGTTGTCTGTTTTTCTTCAAGGTCTTTCATTTTTGTAAATTAGAAACCAACACGTTCAACCATCTACATCATAGCAGTTTATGACATTTGAGTCATTTTAATAGTTTATTAAAAGACGCGTCAAAGGGGTGTCAGAAATACGGGACAGATTCTCGAGATTCGGGGCGGGTGGTCACCGAGGCTCCTGCTCTTTACCGGCACCACATATATACAAGAAGGTGCTGATAAGGTTTAGCTTTCCAAAGAAGGAAACAAGCTAGAGGCCTGTATTCGATACTTCATTTAACATACTCCCCCTTGAAGACAACACACTTCTGATATCGATGCCCTGTAGTTGTTTCTAATTCTTCAATATAAAAGCAGGATTATTGAGCTGGAAACCATGCATCTGCAGCAGAGGTGGCATCTTTTAAGCAAAAACTGTTGGTTACTTTCAGACTTCTTTTTTGAAATTCGAAAAATATGGCAGTCAGATTGGGCTCATTCTGGAAAATAGGCCGGGTGTTTCAACACTCTGAAGCATAAATCAACCAATTTCAGTTTTTTGAGGCGGCAGTCTGGGACTAGGCGTTGTCCTGTGAAAAAACAGAAAGCCTTCGCCAAGCTTCCCGCACCGTTTGGAGATTAGCAGTTGCTTTAATTTGTCAAATAGCAATGTGTACTAGCTTGCGGTAATATTGGTTCATTTTTTAACCAATGCACTAGAAGCATTCTGTTATTATCCCAAAAGACATATGCCACAACT